ATAAGATCTCCAGACGATGAAGGTTAATCCAAGACAGAAGGGAACATAAGCTTTCACAACAATAACTGGCAACTGAAACAAGGAGAGATCTTAAATAAGGCAGTAAATGAGGGACACACAAGTGCTGAGGGTTAACTGATAATTGACTAATGAACTAATGCACTAATGACAACAGTAACAGAACCAAATATGGGCAAACAGGAACCTAAACCAGAACAGAAGACAGAAACTAAATGAAACACACAACAAGTGTTCATGTCTGTGACAGTAACCTTTTTAACTTTGTCATATACTGTAAAGTTGTCAAAAAGCTATGTGGGTATTATCATAGATCTGTGTTATTGTTTATGTTTATAATATAGAGACAGGGGCGAAGGTGCTCCTGTCACAGGTGGTATTACCACAGGACTGTGTGTGTGTGTGTGTGTGTGTGTGTTCATTACCCACAGCTGCAAGTTCTTCAAGCTCAAGATATTCAAGTTCCTCAAGCTATAGAGACCCAGACAGAGTGTGAGAGATGATTCCAGTACAAAGACTGAGGGGAGGTGAAATTGCACAAAAAAAAAAAAGTAGGCCTAAATTTGAGATTTATGTGTTTGAATTACAAAGTGTCCATCCATTTGGATTACACAGTTTTACTTTAAAACTTACATTAAAAAGAAATAAAATAATAATAATAAAATAAAAAAATAAAGATAAAAATAAATAAATATAAACCATGGCATTGTTTATGAATGAACTATTTGCATATCTATTTGATATTATTTAAAAAATAATATTTTCATAATGCATTTATTAAAAGTGCTTAGAATCAGTATTAATCTGTTCATTGTGAAAACAACTACATTCATTCAGTTAATTCATGATTAAAATATGGCTAGATACATTCAGTTTATCTGTACTATTACAGAAAGCTTACATGTTTTTACATGTTTCATTTACAGCAGCCTATTTATGACTGACAAGTGTGCATCATTAAGTTTATTAGTAAAACTTTAATCCAAATGGATAGAAATTTAATATGCAATTAAAAAACATAAATCTTAAATCTAGGCCTAAATATTTATTTGAGTGTGTGCCGATCCATTTATAAATACAGAGGCAAAAGCACAAAGCCTTACAGGTTTTTATTAGTTCTTCTCAGTAACCTCTCATCAGCTGAAACACAAGTGTTGTATTCTTCTCCTCAAAATAAAGAAAGCTCAGAAAACAATAATGAATGAAAAAACAGACATCTGGCATCCAAACATTTCTACCCCTGGAGCCATTTCAGCACCATTTGTGATCTTCTTCATCATGTCATTACAGATTGCCACCTTCACCTGCTGTCAAGATAAAAGACGCCGACTGCTCTTTCCACCAAACATTAAACTTAAGTGACTTAATTACATATTATTTTCTCTTTATGCGTGAAAAATACACAAGAACACCTCCCGTTGTATATATCTCCACAGAACAACAGAGTTGTTACTATGGTGTCTAAAGTAAGACTGAAAAAAATCACAGTTACCCCACTTTTTACAGCATTTCTATTAATTTCTATGTAAAACAGGTCATCAGGGGCAAATCAGCAAATCATCAGCACCTGACAAAACCCCCTGCCTCTGGTTCACAGCTGCGTGAGTTTGTGCCTATGTGTGTGTGATGGCAGAAGGTTGAATGATGCTTTGTCGCCGGAGGACAAATTGCTTTGACATGTGTAACCTCAGAAAATGTGATCGAAAACATCAACGGGCCTCATTGCTCCCTATCTACTTCCTCTTCCTAGAATAATCATCCCCTTCACCAGCGTTTTTCCCCACCTTCATTTCTCATGACTCCTGTCTGCTTATTCATGTGAAAGTCTCCCTCCCTCTCTCTTTCCCTGAATATCCCTCTTGGCCTCAGGAGGTGTTATGACAGTAAGGATGGAGTGTGTGAAGAGCAAGAAAGAGCATGAAGAGAGATAGTGCTGGGGGCGAGCTGGATGGAGGGGAGATGGGAGTTAAAAAGGGGGCACTGTTTCAGAAAGGTAGCCTGGAGAGACAGACATCAACCACATCAACCACCATTCGGCCTCCATTCAGACCTACCTCCATTCAGACCTGCCCGTCTCACCTGCCACACTCACACACATACAGACACCTATAATTACACACACCTGACCACAGTAGACCTCTAAGAGAGAGAATAATGACTAGATGTACTGGAAAAGATATTAAATCCACAATTTTTGAAGATGGAATCATGTTAGGAGCAAGCAATTACCCTTTCTGCATAAAATGCAAAATGATAATGATGAATAAAGAAGGTGGGGTTTTGCTTTTAATGTTTTTATTCAGTTTGCTGTAAATTATATTTATACATTTTTTCAAAATTGCTTATTGTGTTATTTGGTTAGTATTATTATTTTTTCACTGACACATCCCTCGATTTGGAAACACTAGGCTTAAAAAAAAATCCCCCACTTATAATTACGACTACTTTAAAGGGGTCATGAACTGAGAAATCAAAATTCCCTTGACCTTTTGATATATAAGAGGTCATTGTGCTATAAAAAACATTCGGTAAGTTTCAGAACTCAAAACCTTCTCATTATATTGAAGCCAGTCTGCCAAAACGACAGCTTGTGGAATGTTCTACATTATGATGTAATAGTGTGGATAAGCACCGCCTCCGCAGAAGAAGATCAACGCCTGCTTCTACATCGCTGCCTGTTTAGCCCCGCCCACTGATTCATGCATGTAGTGTGAATGACAAGAACGGAAAACGCAGGTCTACGCAGAAACCAAACGATAAACTTTATCTGATGAACTTTACTTTTAATGAAATACCAGACTGCATCAGTAAGAACTTGGTCCTTTGTTCACTTCATTTTACCGCAGATTCGTTTACAAACTAGGTCGTTAGATATGTACTGTATTTATGAGTTCTTAGCCTAAATCACAGCAGTGTCCCTCTGTGAAGGAAGTAGGCTGTCAAACATACACAACTGTTAGCCAATCACAGCAGTGGCGTTTACTTCGGAGTCTACAATCCGCCACACCTATTCAAACAGAGCATTCAGATGAAGGGGGTTAAAAACATGACAGAAAATAGCTTGTTACTTCTAAATTATGATGTGTTTTGATGTAAAAAAAATTATGATAACGTTATAAGTGTACCTCAGAGAACAGTACAAAATAAAAAAAAACAAAGGCAGTTCATGACCCCTTTAAAAGTAATAGCCTTAAGTACCTGAGTTTTTAAGAACGTCAGGTGTACATTTTCATAAAAACACCTTATTTAATTACAACATATTTAGAAAAAAGGTGTAAACATGAATAATCCAGCTGTGTTATTTTGTATGAAACCACCATGTCTTATTCTTTACACATACTCACACACACACAGACCAGTCTCTGGAGAATTCAGCGATGACATTGTTGAGGTTTAACCACAGGGCAAAAAAACCCAATGTAGCTAAATCAATGTCACTTTCATCCACTCATTCTCTTCAAACTGTGATGAACAGGTCAACAAACATCCACCTCGTCTGTCTGTCTCCCTTTTGGAAATTTTGATATCATTATTCTGGTGTCTGTGTCTCCGGGCATGGGAGGCACCAGATCAGACTGGTGTGTTCAGATACAAGGCTGCGGAAACCAACATAATTAGACAAAGCTGGGACGAGCGAAAGGAGTTGACAAAATCTTGCCCCAAGAAGTTTTGTCATTATGTTCTTCCTGTCACTGACGCTCCATCAAGGGATGAAAGTTGACACACCTTCCCCCAGGCCTCAAGCTGTAACCATACTATAAGAATGATGGTATTTGCTTTCATAAAACTACAATTGCTGATTGATTCACGTTTCGCATAAATGATGAATGGGATTAAGGTTTACATTAATGGCTGTCATTTAAAGGGCTTTATGGAACAGATTTCTGAATGTAGAGATCTTATGGGAAAAATAGCCTACCTTAATTCACATTATTTAAGATTAAAGCTGGTTGCTAATTGCTGTTCACATTCTAATCTAAACATTACAAAACGTTAACCCTACAGTTTCCACCAAAATACAGGGCTGTGTTTTTACACAGGGACAAAATGTTGTTGTTATGTTTTATGTCTATTTTTATGTCTCTTTCGGCATTTTATAACATCTAGCTATTTTTTGTAACTTTTGTATTATTCTGTAATTAGTTAATGGTTTCAGTTCATGTTTAATTTACAAATTAATCTGACGATGTGTATTAGTTTTAAGATTTTAGCATAAAGGCTTCTTACCCCATGTGGCATTTAGTCTCATTGTACCTTTATAGAGAACTGCATAAGTAAAGGTAACATCTTTTTGTCAAAATTAATTCACAGTCATAGATGTATTCCTTATAGACTATATTAGGATTAATGAATATCACCCGCTTTTACTAATGTCACCTCAAGTAAAATAAAATAGACCTAATATTGTAGGCTATTATTAATTTAATTCTGGCTGATGGATTAATTTTTGATTTACTTTTTCAAGACTATTCTTTATTCTAATAATAAGAAAGCCATTAAGACTGTGTAGCCTATCTATATGCAAATCTTTACACTTATTTCTATAATTATAAGTCTGCCTCCCTTGTGTGTTTTCTTTAATTTATAGCCTATTATTGTAGTTCTGAATGTGTTTTAACCTTTGTCTTACTAACTAACAAAACAATTAGTAATGTTGAATACCATCCTCCTAACTAACTAAATTTAGATAGTAATATTGAATACCATCCTCCGCCACTGCTGGCGCTGTTCTTGTTTTTAGTCAGGCGGAGAGGGCGCCTAAAAGAGGTCCTTTTTCCTGTTGACGTGTATGCTTGACAGCGATATGTGAAACTAAACGAAACGGAGGAAATAAAACATTGCATAACTTTCCTTTAAATACTTTTTCCCGTGTTTTTAGTGGCGTCCTTAACCGTCACTGAAGATGGAGACGCTTTTAACTAACTAAATTTAGATAGTAATATTGAATACCATCCTCCGCCACTGCTGGCGCTGTTCTTGTTTTTAGTCAGGCGGAGAGGGCGCCTAAAAGAGGTCCTTTTTCCTGTTGACGTGTATGCTTGACAGCGATATGTGAAACTAAACGAAACGGAGGAAATAAAACATTCCATAACTTTCCTTTAAATACTTTTCCCCGTGTTTTTAGTGGCGTCCTTAACTGTCACTGAAGATGGAGACGCTTTACCATCAGACCAATAAGTGAGTTTGTTCACACTGCATATAATTTAGCTAGCTTACCAGTAAACAGAACTATTTAATGCTCAGATATCAAATGCTGACCGTTTTCATAAGTTCGGTATAACATGTAACAAATAAAAGGCTCTTTGAAATATATAGTATGGAAATAGAATATAAGCTGCTTTCGTCTGGCAACATCTGATGATATTATAGATTCCTATTTATACTTTCTGTTTATGACTCTCAGTAAGGAGGTTTCGTTGATATTATGCTTTCATTACGGCCTGTCAGCTGGTTTAATTCATCAAACGTGTGGTTGTACTGTAAGTAAGGTAAGGTGCAGCTTGTATAATGCTATTATCTGTCTGACAGCAGACGGGACATCCACAGGCCCCTGATGTGTCTAACATTCATTCATTGAATAATGACTTTAATAATGTACAGTGTATTTAACCCCCTCTCTCTTCTCACTTATCCATGTCTTTAACTTTTAGACAAATTCAGGAGGTTCAGTCTCACATGGGACGACTGGAGACCACAGACCGACAGTCAGTCCATTGTAAGTGTGTGTGTGTGTGTGTGAATAACGACCCTCAATCCCACAGAGACGAGAGGATTCAAATAGGACACATACTCCAAAACATTGACAATTAGAGCAGTGTGGTTTATGAATATGAACATCATCCAAAAGCAGTTTCATTATTCCATATTCGTAGTTTCTCCCTGAGCTTTACCATTTCTGTTTCAAGCCCTTAATTGACCTGTATTTATTAGATAAATGGCAAGCAGAATGGGAAGAGTGTCAAAATAATTTATTTGAAATAAATGCTGTTGTAGGAAAAATATGCATCTACCAGATACTTACAGTTTAGGGCTGCACGATTAATCGAATGCGATTGTCATGCGCATTTTGATAGTAATGCCGGTTCTGTAATCAGCAGGAAATCATCATCACGTGCTTTCAGATGGAGCAGAATTTACTACACATTGCCGTTGTTCACTGAGAAGTTACGCAAAAAAATCACAGACGATTTTATTGTGCGATTCTGAAATCGAAGAAATCATTCGCGATAATGACAGCTGTTTGCATAGCTTCTCAGTGAACTACGGCTCTGTGAAGTAAATGCTGCTCCATCTGAAAGATATATATTATCTCTCCAGCTCTAATCTGCTAAATGCGACTCTAAGGAGTGAAGATATTAAAATATTATAAATAGTAACATCATGATTTTCTGTAAAGCTGCTTTGAAAAAGCATTGTTTACTTTACATTTAAATTGACTTTACATTTAAATCCTGACATGACCATGTTGTTTGCACAAGGTGTCATGTAGGTCACACCAGACTGATTCATGGGTATTTAATGAAGGGCGATTATTTTTAGTGGCATGAGACAATATTTTTTATTTGGACAAACTTTGAAGGACTTATTTTGTAAGATGAACCCAGAAAAACTTTCACAGTACATTTAGAATCCTTTATGGAGTTATGTATATATAAAATGTTGAATTGAAAAAAATTTTTTTGTATTTATTGTATTGTTTGTTAAATGTTGAATTTGGATCTGCCATTAAATAGTCTTTGAAGCTGATATGTCATTAAACCTAAATACAACCAACCATTTCTATTAACGTATAGTTATAATTAATTATAATAATTATCCTCAGCTGTTTGTTTAATCACTATATAAATTTACATCTTTATTCTTTTGAAACACATTAAAGCACTAAGAAAGTGCAAGATGTAACACCAGTTATAATAATTTGACATATAACCAGTCCAGGGTTGCATTTCTCAAAAGAATTGTAAACCTTTTTGTGAATTGTAAAGTAGTTTGTAGAGACCATCTGAGCCAATGGTTTATCTGTTTAGGCCTACAGTGCTTTTGGGAAACCCATCAGAGATCAGTTAGCAGCTGTCCTAGGCCTTATTTACACATGTGTACCAATTAACATTTTCTCTAAAATTTGTGTGGTTACACAAGACTGCCATGACATCCACTACATGTTGTCCACGACCTGTGGTTTCAGTGATCATATCGCAAAAATGTGTAGAACCCATTTACCCTGGTATTTTCCATTCGTGATCGGATAATCCAGTTGTCAAACCGCATATAAACTGGGTAGCGTATAAACTGGCGGCAGGCAGAGTCATCGTGGTGCCACTGAGCAGCTGATTGTTCTGTAGAGGTGGAGCTTCTGCAGAGAGCCAGGCTGGTGCCACGGCAGGAAGGACAGGGAGGAGTGATGGGGTGGGGGCATGGAGACTCATGGAGTGCTGTGGTGTGTGTGTGTGTGTGTGTTTGAGGTGGTGTTGTGGCTCTTTGGTGAGTCTGAATAAGATAACCGTCTCCTACCCATACTGGTGACATCATAAGAGATGTCATAGGCGGGAAGGATGCATAACGCATGCATAGGTTTGTCTGTGTGAGAGCGATTGTGAGATTGCATTCTCAGTCTCAGAGGGTAGGGGTCAGGGCAGACTGCATGTGTGATAAAACTTTCCCACCAGTCTGCGGTTCTCTCCAAGGAAGCGGCACTCATTCCCAATCAGCGGATCTGCTTGTCAATGCTTGATTCTCTCTTTGCCTGATACTTATTGCAGCTTAGTGCATGCATTTATTATATCCTCATTTATAATGTCCTCATTTATTTCCCTTACTTTCACATTAAGATTACTATTGTGGCCATCTAACACTCATATAAGGTTAATATTTAAAAGAGTTTAATGAGCTTTTGTAAATCCATTTTTTTTAATACTGTGTACATTATAATTGGAGACTCATGGAGTGCTGTGGTGTGTGTGTGTGTGTGTGTTTGAGGTGGTGTTGTGGCTCTTTGGTGAGTCTGAATAAGATAACCGTCTCCTACCCATACTGGTGACATCATAAGAGATGTCATAGGCGGGAAGGATGCATAACGCATGCATAGGTTTGTCTGTGTGAGAGCGATTGTGAGATTGCATTCTCAGTCTCAGAGGGTAGGGGTCAGGGCAGACTGCATGTGTGATAAAACTTTCCCACCAGTCTGCGGTTCTCTCCAAGGAAGCGGCACTCATTCCCAATCAGCGGATCTGCTTGTCAATGCTTGATTCTCTCTTTGCCTGATACTTATTGCAGCTTAGTGCATGCATTTATTATATCCTCATTTATAATGTCCTCATTTATTTCCCTTACTTTCACATTAAGATTACTATTGTGGCCATCTAACACTCATTTAAGGTTAATATTTAAAAGAGTTTAATGAGCTTTTGTAAATCCATTTTTTTTTATACTGTGTACATTATAATGTTGTGATGCCTAAATTCACTTGTAGCAATTAAAATGGGTATTACAAAATGTAAACATTGGTGCATCCCTGATTTTAACCTTTTTCTTTTTTAAACGTGGCAAATTTTTTAAACAGATTAATATATATATATATTATTTGTACATAGACTGTTATTCAAAGGTTTGGTGTCTGTAAGATTTTTTTAAAGAAATTAATACTTTTATTCAGCAGGTATGCTTAAATTGATGTAAAGCATGACTGTTTTCAACATTGATACTAATAAATGTTTCTTGAGCTGCAAATCAGCATATTATAATGATTTCTGAAGGATCACGTGACACTGCATCACAGGACTAAATTAGATTTTAAAATCTATCAAAATAGAAAACGGTCATTTTAAAATGCTGTAATAAATCGCAATAACAAAATGCAGCCTTGATGAGCCTAAGAGATTTCTTTCAAAACCATTAATAAATCTTACAGACCCCGAACTTGAATTTTAGTTTGTATTTAGTATTTTGTGATGTACTTGATATATGATTCTTATTTGTGTACTTACGTTTCTGATTCTTGTGTTTTCCTGCAGTACTTGAAAATGAACTTCAAGCAAGAATTGATCAAATCTTTAATCAGCTGGAGCGACTTGAGATACTAGCCAGTAAAGAGCCACCAAACCGCCGGCAAAATGCCAAACTGTGAGTGCATCAGTAGAAATATCCACTAGTGCCTTATTGAATTGTGCAAAGGTCCAGGCCTTGTCTTGATCCAAGGTTGTTTTTTAGGAGGATGGGCAACTAGAGCAAAATATCCTTCCTGTCAGAAGATTAAATTGGTATCCAGTTTGATCTGTAATCATTAACCAGAGTATGTGGAAGCTGGAATATAGTATTGCTGGATAGATGGCTTACCTAAACGTTGTAGGTTCAAAGATCAGGGGATTCATGAGCTTCTGCAATCGTCTCCACCATGACATAACCCATTTAGTAAAACTTGAGTTGCTCTGTCCTTGTAGTAAATACATAATGTAAGTTGTTTTGAATGAGAAAGCCTCTGCCAAATGAAGAATAATGCGATGTGATGAGGTTTGTGTTGTATGCGCCCCGTGGCAGAGGGATCCAGTGAAAACATTCCGTCTGCAGTCACGTCATCACCAACATTCCTGCCGTGTGTGGCAAAGCCTGGCTAAAGCACTGCACAAACACACCTGTTACACTCACTCACAAAACAACGGATATCGTGAAGAACAGACTCTTCTTGAAGAGTGTCTTTATGACAGTGTATGTGTGTGGATGATCTCAAACACGCTATACAGAAACAACAGCAGCTTTTCACACAAGTCTAACAATGTGAATTCTAGTTTTAACAGAGAAAGCTTTGAACACTTTTGTCATTTAATTGATAGTTATATATCTTTATCTGTTCCAATACCGTACATGTATTTATGTATTTAGTCAAAACAGCTCAGCAATAAGGATTTCGTCTGCTGGCCCAGTCAACCCATTAGTTCAAATTTGTACTTGTACTTGAGAATATTTTCATTGACCCTACAACGGAATTTTGCATTTTTGTTATGCTAATATTTCCACATAGTGACGATATGTGGGGGCGTGTTAGAACGAGCCGTTTTAGGGGGGCGTGGCAGAGTCTTAACTTTGATAAAGAATATCTCTTTGGTTTTGAGACTTTAGTCTTTGCAACTTCAGGGATCTTATCTATGCACAATCAGCTTGTAACACTCCAAAGAGAAAGGAAAACTTGAAATCGCATCATATGACCCCTTTAATAAAAAACAAAAAATTATAATAATAAATAGCATTTTTACCAATATGATCATTATTTGAATTATTATATAAATAGTAGTATTTTTTTTTTAAATAGCATTTATATATTTTAAACCATTTTGAATCAAAAATAAATTAGATTTCTAGCAATGTTATTATTAGAACTATTATATATAATAATTGCAACTTATACATTTCAAAAATAAACGTTACATTCATCAGTGTGATCATTAGTAAAGTATTATATATGATAATTTTAATGATTTTTAAAAAACAAATTTGATTTTTTATAAATGTTATTTTTAGTGATGTGATATTAAAAGTATAATAATGATGATAATGTTTCATCATTTTTCAAAAATAAATTTAATTTTAATTTTTCATTAACAAATGAATGTAAACATAAAAATAAAATATAAAATAAATCGTTTTTAATTTGCAATAATAGCTGGCCTGAATTTCCAATAACTGACCTGAAATTATTTTACATTAGCCCTAAACCTTTGTATTGTTGAGTGGTATAAATAAAATGTAAAAAGTTTTATTCGAACTTAATTTTTGGCTGTTATTGAATGCAAAACTTCTTTCTATATAAACAAGCAGGAAGTCTACAATTGTTGCATCACCAAACAAGGCCTGCGGGCTGCTGTGTGCTCTGAAAGACACTCACTGTGTTTTTCTTTTTATAGGCGTGTTGATCAGCTGAAGTATGATGTGCAGCATCTCCAGACAGCCCTGAGGAACTTCCAGCACAGACGTTACGCTCGCGAGGCTCAGGAGAGAGAAAGAGAGGAGCTCTTGAGCCGAAGCTTCACAACAAACGTCAGTAGACCACACACACCTTCTTCTGCGTAGTTTCTGCCAAGACTCTTTCTCCATCACTCATCAGTCTATAAACCTACATCACACTACAAAGAAGGCATTTTGATTTCGACAGTGCTGTGTGCTTTTTATGTGTAGGATGCAGACACCTCCATCCCTATTGATGAAACCCTGCAGTTTAATAGCAGTCTACAAAACGCTCACAGAGGAATGGATGACCTGCTGGGCTCCGGCTCCAGCATCCTTACCGGCCTGAGAGACCAGAGGAGCACGCTTAAGGTGTGTGTGACGCACACAACACAGGGCGGATTCAACTCTAGACCAAGAAGGGGAATTTTTTCCATTCTCTTATCAGGGTGTTTCTAATCGTTTCAAATAGTGCTCGACTGATTGTTGATAAAGTGCTGATGGCTGATATAATACAGTTTAATGAAAATGCTGACAGGAATAATTAACACAATACTTAATCTTGTTTATTTTAACAGTAGGTGTTGGAGTGTTGAGTCAGCGTTATTTTAGTATTATTTATATACTATTATAGTAGTTATTAATATTTGGATTTAGGCTTCATTTTATATTTTAGTTTTCCTTATAGTATCTTTGATTTTGTCATTTTATTTTTCATTATTTAGCTTCTTTTATTTCTGTTTTAGTTTTAGTGATCTTAGTACTTCAATTAATGTAATTGCCAAGGCAACATTTCTAATCTTTTCATCAAATATTTATGTTTTATTTCCACTGTTTCAGTTAAGGGAAACATGTCAGTTTTAGCTAACAGTGACACCACTGGTTTGAGGTCATGTATGCACGTATAGACACTGACTGTGTGTTTCCAGGGAGGAGCGTGTGCTCTTCCTGAAGCTCCTCTGATTATCACAGAGCGTGAGAGACCGTCTCCGCCTGTGCTTTTGGGGAAATGGGGGGTGATGTGTACCTCAGATATTTTACTGAGTGAATGAAAAGTTTATCTGTTGCTCACTGTATTCAAAGAGAAAAAAAATCGAAATCTGCATTTTTTTTTTTTTAATCAGAGATTCATAGTAACGTTCCACACTTTGTTTTTTTTAGGGTACCCATAAAAAGATGTTGGATGTTGCAAACATGTTGGGTTTGTCGAACACGGTCATGCGTTTCATTGAGAAGCGAGCATCGCAGGACAAGTTCATCATGATGGCTGGAATGCTGGCTACTTGCTTTGTCATGTTCCTGGTGGTGAAATACCTTAGCTGAACTCTCCCGGCTTTAGCCGACCCTGCTGCTCGATCGCGTCAGTGGATCATTCAGGTTTTCATGCCACATGCATCACATCTATGAAAAATGCACAGGTGTGCCGAAAGAAAATCACAGAACTGCCTCTTTGCAGGATGACTGCCACTCTCAACATCACAAATCTTTTGTGTCTCTAGTCTTACTACTTCAGCTGTATTTTTAAAGACTTTGAATCCTTTCATAACTTTCCTCTCAGTTGATTCTGAAATAAGCAGCAAATTTTTGTGACTGCTCTTTATTTTGGAGTCTAGACTGAACTAAAACCTTTATTCTCGCCGGTATTATAGAAGTATTAGAGCAAATAATAATTAAAGACATTTAGATTTAAAATGTGTAAGGGTTAGAGAACTGGTCTGTTATCTGGCTCTTCATTGCCACCTTCTGGACAACAAACCAAAAATATTTGGTTACTCAGTGCTTAGTTTGTACTGTTTTGTTAATAACACTTCTAACCTGTAAATACACATTTCTGTGCAATAAACTCAAGTAGCGTCTAGCTGCCCTGAAATGTAAAACTCTCCACTTGTTTCATACCGTTAAAGTGTGAGTGTGTACGCCTGGATCTACGCAGGAGCCACAGCCTCCGGCAAACAGGAAATGAGACGTCTTATTGGACATCTGCTGCATGGATCTTGACGCTGTATGCGCACATTCACACATGCTCAAGACCCCAGCAGCATAATCCTCAACAATATCCTCCTGCAACAGTCATACATCATTTCTGTCTTTGCCACTGTCATGAAATTCAAATGTTGACCAAGAGGATAAAATACTATTACTATTGAAAAACAATGTGAAAGTTAACAGTCACCTGCTGTTCTTTTTCACTGTAGTCAATGTCACAGAGACCCAGTGAAGTAGATGTAACAAATTTATGCAGCCATTAATACTTCTATTGACCAAACTGATTTTAAGGTCTTAAAAACTCACCTCTGTAATCTGTACGCAGAGGTAATTGAAAGCTCTTGATACTTAACAGAATATTGTACAAATTTTGCAATAAAGTATCCTTAAGAGCTAAGGCAATTGATTCTACTCCAATAGTGCCATCTAGTGTTAACAGCCATGACTGCTGTAAAATTTGGGTGAAAAATTAGCCTACCTTGCCAAAGCCTAAATATTACACTTACACAAATACACCTATAATAAAGATAACTGTTACAAGTTCAAGTTACTTTATATGGTTTAAAAAATAGATTTCGTAACAAAACAAGTGCTGGACGGCCTCGTTCCACAGTGAAGTAAATCCTAAAAGGTGCTCTTTGTGCGGTTTTCGATCATCGTATGTACAGAAATAGTTAAAGTAATTCGGGTTCAACATTTTAAATGCTTTTGATTGTTAAAAAGTTTAAAAATCAGTACCTGCACACAGACTCGGTCAACACAACCTTCCTTGGTGTGTCAAGGTCAGGATACATATAGGTTGCTTTTATTGTCATTTGACTGGCAAAACAAACTATTTTTGTATGTTACTTGATCAGGTTCTTACTACGTCTACCAGAGCTTATTTTATTTGTCCAATGAAATCAAATTCAGGCACAGAAGTCTCACAGATGGCATGTCCTTTTCTGATGCCTTGCAGCTGGGTTTGCACTTCCTGGGGTTCACCACTTCCTAAGCAGTGAGGGGCAGGTCATGGTGGTTTGCAAAATAAATAGCCTGTCATTAAAGAGTGAAATTTTATTTAGTCTGTATTTCTATATCTACATGGTTTTATTGCAAATATCTTGTGGTGCTGATGTTCAAATTATGGCTTTTTTGGAATGTTAGTGCAAGTTAACCTGAAATCTTAATAGAAAATTATGCAGCTGTACTATGCAACCATAAAGGGTGGTTTGCTGCAGGAACATTTTCATACTACGAAAAAGGTTTATTACATACACTATATATATATATATATATCTCTCACAGAAGTGAGTACACCCCTCACATTTTTGTAAATATTTTATTATATCTTTTCATGTGACAACAATGACGAAATCACCCCTAAGTGAAAATGTCCAAATTGGGCCCAATTAGCCATTTTCTCTCCCTGGTGTCATGTGACTCAGTGTTACAAGGTCTCAGGTGTGAAAGAATGCAAGTCTGAGAGTGCAAGTGCAAGGCTGCAGCCAGACCCTCTTGACTTTTGTGGCCAGCGGTTTAGACATTAATGGCTGTGTGTTGAGTTATTTTGAGGGCACAGCAAATTTACACTGTTATACAAGCTGTACACTCACTACTTTACATTGTAGCAAAGTGTCATTTCTTCAGCGTTGTCACATGAAAAGATATAATAAAATATTTACAAAAATGTGAGGGGTGTACTCACTTCTGTGAGATACTGTGTATATATATATATACATACATAAATGCTGGGCCGGTTCTAGACATTAGGAGGCCCAATTCATGTTGGAGGCCCCCCCACCCCCAATAAAAAGCACTTGAAACAAATATGATTACTAACCTTTTTATTTATACAACATTTAACATTAAATTTTGTATATTCTTATACAGTACAAAGAAAATAATTTGTTTAAAATTGTAAATGTTTTTGAAAGAAGTCTCTTATGCTCATCAAACGTGGATTTAGCGTATTTGATCAAAAATACAGAAAAAAAAACAATAATATTGTTAAATTTAATGGTTAAAATAAAAATAAACTTAAACTTAAAATTAAAACTAAAAATTAAACTTAAAATAATGGTTTTCTATTTTACTATGCTTTAAAATATAGGCCTATTTCTGTGATGCAAAACTGAATTTTCTTCAGCCATTACTCCAGTCTTCAGTGTCACATGATCCTACATAAATCATTCTATTATGCTGATTTATTATGAATGTTAGAAACAGTGCTTGTTTATTTCATAACCGGTGATACTTTTTTCAGGATTTTTTAATTAAAAAGATGTTTAAAAAAAAAAAACATTTTATAACAATACGTCTTTACTATCACTTTTTATCGATTTAACACACCCTTGCTGAATATTACTGTTTTTTTCTCTCTCTGTATTTCTGATCAAATAAATGCAGGCTTGATGAGCATAAGAAATTTCTTTCAAAAACATTAAATATAGTAATGGGTCCAAACTTTTGACCGGTACTGTATCATATTAATCAAACTTTATCTAAGGTAATCTCTTTTTTTTTTTTTGATGATGTTATTGTTGATGTTATTATTATTTAGCTGTTTTGTTTAATTTAATCACAGTTCCAGAATACCACTTCAGTAAGTGCTTTTATCATTTTTTTCCTAGCTGGGTCTGAGCAGAATTTCCCCCTCCCATTTAATCAATATTGACTATAGATATTGTCATGTTATTGATATCAATAATATAATATTATGCATTTCATTGTTACCTTAAATATGACATATATATATATATACACACATACACACACACAAATCAAGTGGAACAGAAAGACACGATCGCTACTAAGCATAAAAAAAGTTAGTTAGTTGAAACTGAAATTGTAAATGTTATGTTAGAGCAGTAATCCTAATCATCAGCCGAATTTAGAAGATACACCTGAGATCCTTTATTTGAACCATAAAAAAAATGCTTTAGTGTGTTTGCTTTTTAACTTTGAATACAAACTTCTCTGCTTTTACTTTTTTGCTAGTCAGCTCCCGACGCAATGTCATTCATTGTACGCGCAAATTCAAAGCGTCGCGTCTGGGCGCGTCAACGGCGCTCGCGCTCTTTTAAACTTGTAATAAAGCAGTGAATGATCTTTCCAGAAATCACGCTGATCGACAGAACAAGTTTATATTTAGAATACATTGCAATCACTCCAAAATTATGGCAACTC